CTCCTCCTCCTCCTCCTCCTCCTCCTCCCTCCTCCTGGGGGTCCCTCCCCGAGGCCCAAGGGCGGCAAGGGGGGCCACCGCCGGGCCTGGCGCGCCTCGGAGCCCCCCCCTGCCGGGCGCCGCCATGGTGGTCATGGTGGGCCCCCACGGGCAGATGCCCCCGGAGATGCAGGGGCAGCGACTGGGGTTATGATGTTTCGGGGGTCCCCAAACAGGGTGGTGACCACACCGTGCGGTGAGTCGGTGGGGATTCGGGGTCACCGCACGGTTTTGGGACTCGAGTCCCTCTCCGAGGACGTCTCGGGCGAGAGGGGTCTCCGGGGTCCAAAGACCGTGCGGTGACGGACCGTGCTGTGAGGTCTTGGGGGATTTCGAGGTCACCGCACGGTCCGTCACCGCACCGTTTCGGGACTCCCAAATGTTTCAACCTTCTTTAGCCTTGACCGCCAGAAAGAATTTCGAGCACCAAAACAGTTCTGAAACTCGAGGGTTTTCACGTGTCGGGCCCTGGGAGACTCGTCCGACACTGTTTCGACACTGTTTCGACACTCTTTCGACACTTTTCCGGGTTCTCGAAATCATTTCTTGGATGTGGTCCTTAAGTGCGATGGGAGCAACGTAAGATTGGGGGGCATTCGAGCAGCCCAGACCTCCTCGCGTCGTGACAAACATCGTAAGTCGGGCATGTCCCTCTACAGGGGGAATCTTCAGAAAGAGTGAAACATCATATGGGGATTATTTGTGGATTTTTTGTTGTTGTATTTTGCATATTTCTGAGTATTTGTCATTTTTCTTCCAAAATCTGCCTGTGGGGGGACACGCCCGACCTAACAAAACTCACGACGTGAGGTTGTTGGTTATTTTCAGCCTCTGGGGGCCTTCCCGGGCCTCGGGACTGTCAAAGAACGACTCGGGATGAAAAGCCCGTCCTGGGGAAGGGGTCCAGACCTCTGGGGGTCGAAGTTGCGAAACAATCACGACGTCGGGGGTCTGGGAGTGGGGCAAGGATCGGGGGGATATGCATAGGTCAAGCAGTGGCGAAGCTTCCTGGCTCGCCTAGATCTCGGCCTCCTAGATGAAGTCGGAGTAGATGGGGTCGGAGGATCGCACCGCATCGCCGATGCATCGCCAATGCGGCTCGATGCGGAGCCCGATTTGCCTCACGCGGACGTCGCCGATGTATCGCCGACGTCGACGACGCCTCGCCGGTGCATCGCCGATGCATCGCCGATCGCCGATGCATCGCCGATGCATTGCCGATGTATCGGCGATGCGGCGCGATCTTCGACCCCATCGACTCGGACCCCATTTAGAAGGCCTCTAGATGGGGGGATTCTAGCAGTGGCGAAGCGTCCTGGCTTTCCTACGTGCCCCCCCCTCAAAAACGTTCTAAGAACATTCTCTGGTCTGCACGACAAGTTCTCATAACATTTCTGAGACTGTCTTGTTTTGACAAACTGGTTCTACGTTCCGAGAACCTTGCTTTTGCCTTGGAACATTATTTTGGTTCCAATAATATTTCGTGGTAGGCCTATCGGATTTCCGGGACGGTCGGTCCGTGATCAAGGGCTAGGCACAGGGCTAAGATGTTCCAACTTAGTTTTAAGCCTTGACCACCGCAGAGGACTTCGAGCACCAAGAAGGCATCGAAGCTGGAGATGGTTTCCACGTGTCGGCTGCGGGGAGGCAATACTCGTTCGGCACTTCTCCAGCGTGTCGGGCAGACACTGGTTCGATACTTTTCTGGGTGCTCGACATTCCCCAATCAGAGCTTGCCTCTGTAGGGGTCCTAGCGGATTCATATGGTCAGGTTAGATTTGTCGCCGATTTTCGCTGCACGCCCGGGTGCCCGGGTGCCCGGGGGTGCCCGGGGCCCAGGTGCCCAGGGGGTGCCCGGGGGCTGCCCGGGGGTGCCTGGGTGCCCAGGTGCCCGGGCGTGCCCGGGTGTGCCCGGGGGTGCCCTATAGCCCTATAGCCCTAAGCCCTATAGCCCTATAGCCCTATAGCCCAATAGCCCAATAGCCCTATAGCCCTTCAACTCTACAGCCCTATAGCTCTATAGCGCCCACTAGCCCTATGGCCCTATGGCCCTGGAAGCGTCACCATTATTTCTGGAATGTGGTCTTTGAGTACAATGGGAACAACAAGAATGGGGGGGTGCATCGACCCCCAACCGCCCACTGATCGCCAACAGGGGTCTGACTGCCCCTACCCCGCCCAGGAACGTGCGGATCAGCTGTGGGGGGCCCACCACCGATCCGTCGGCGATCTACCTCCGCTTCCAGGTCGATGCTCCCTCCTATGCTTGAGTCGGGCATGCCCCTCTACACGAGGAGTATACCAATCGAGTCAAAAATGGTATGGGGACTATTTGTCGACCATTCCTCACAACCCTTGGGTATGTTTTGACTACGGTTTTTATCTGTCTTCCACAGTCCGCCTGCAGGAGGACACGCCTGACCTGACCCTATGCCATCCCCCCCCCCCTCTGTCGCTGCCCCTCAGGAGAAGAAGGCCCGGTGGACGGCGCCCGGTGCCGTCGCGCCCGGCGGCGTCCCAGGCCCCGCCGCCCTCCTCGGCGGCCCTGGCTGGTGCGTGCGGACCCGTAAGACGGCCTCTGGCGGCTGGCCTCTGGCGGCTGGCCTCTGGCGGCAGGCCCCTGGCGGCCGGGCCCTGCGCGCGGCCCATGGCGTGGCCTCTGGCGCGGCCTTTGGCGCGGCCCTCGGCGGCCCTCGGCGGCCCTTGAGCTGGCAGCTGCATTTCCCCGGCGTCTTCGGGGCTCTGCCCGTCTCGGAGCAGAGCAGCGCAAGACACAGCTTCCTGGAGCTCCGCGCGGAGTTCCGACAGCCCTTTGGGCCGTCTTGGACAACCTTGATGCCATCTCGGGGGCATCTCGGCCCGTTGTGAAGACATCGTGGGGCCGTCCTGGAGGCCACCTCGGGCTGTCTTGGACGTCTTGGAGGCATCTCGGCGGCACTCTTGGACCATCTTGGCCGTCTTGGGGCGATTCTTTTTGGGACGTACATCTCACCACCCACCAAACCACCCCCACCCAACCCGAGGGCCCAAATTTATCCTCGATTTCCAGTGGGCGGGGGGTCGGGGAACGTGGAAAAACACACGTGGAACCCGTATCCCCCCCAGCCCGAAACTTGGGTCTTCGGGTCATGCTCCCAGACATCCGGCTGCTCCAATTTTTCGGATGCGTGGGCCCCGGAGGTCTGGAGCACTTCCCCAGGGGCCGTTCCCAGACCCCCGACGTAATGATTTTTTCATTACGTCGACCCCCAGAGGTCCCGACCCTTTCCCCATGACCAGCTTTGCATCCTGAGTCGTTTTTTGACGCTCTCGAGGCCCGGTGAGGGCCTCCAGAGGCCGAAAATTAGGAAAAACCTCCCGTCATGATTTTTTCATTACTCGAGGGGGTCTGGGTTTTTTCCTCCCGAGTTCTTTTTGGACGCTTCCGAGGCCCGGCGAGGGCCCCCCGGAGGCCAAATTTTGCCCAACCCCGAGGCCCGGCGAGGGCCCCCCGGAGGCCTGGCCTCCTCCGCCTTCTCCTCCTCCTCCTCCTCCTCCTCCTCCTCCTGCTTCTCCTCCCTATCCTCCTCCCTGATCTTCCTATCCTCCTCCTCCGCCTCCTCCTCCTCCTCCTCCTCTTATCTTTCACCTGCCGAGCGGTCCACTTCGATGTCGACTCTGTTTTGATCCAGATTTGATCCGATATCGCAGGTTGGGGGTGAGTCCGACGTGAAACGGAGACCCCCCCCTACCGCGAAATCGATTTCGGTTTCGGGTTTGTGTCGTGCGTGCCGTACGTGCGTGCGTGCGAGCGAGGCGAAGCTGCGTGGGCGGGCGAGAGGAAATCCTCCTGTGGCTGGGCCGCGGCGGACCAAATGTAACTCCTCCGGCGGCCGGTGCCGCGCGGTGTCCCGCCGGTGTCCCGCTGGTGTCCCGTGGTGTCCCGTGGTGTCCCGTGGTGTCCCGTTGAGTGATATCGATAGTGAGATCGATAGTGAGATCGATAGTGAGATCGATAGTGAGATCGATGCTGAGATCGATGTGGTGCCCCGAGGTGTCCCGTGGTGTCCCGTGGTGTCCTAAAAAGTGGGATCGATAGTGAGATCGATAGTGAGTTCGACAGGTGTCCCGTGGTGTTCCGCGGTGTCCCGTGGTGTTCCGTGGTGTCCCGTTGAGTGAGATCGATAGTGAAATCGATAGTGAGATCGATACTGAGATCGACAGGTGTTCCGCGGTGTACCGTGGTGTCCCGTGGTGTCCCGTGGTGTCCCGTTGAGTGAGATCGATCGTGAGATCGATAGTGAGATCGATGTGGTGTCCCGAGGTGTCCCGTGGTGTCCTATGGTGCCCCGTTGAGTGAGATCGATAGTGAGATCGATAGTGAGACCGATAGTGAGATCGAGAGGTGCTCCGCGGTGTCCCGTGGTGTCCCGTGGTGGCCAGTGGCGTCCCGTGATGTCCCGTTGAGTGAGATCGATAGTGAGATCGATTGAGTCAGATGTTGGTTCCCCCCTCTCTCTCTCTCTTTCTTTCCCCCGCAACCTCCTTATCACCCGAAGGGTGGTCGTATAGGTAGTAAATGTCAGAGGAGGAAACGGTACCACTACTGCTACTTGATCCGATCTAGTATATCTCGGAGGGGGAGAAGGTACCCCTACTGCTACCCTACCCCCGTTTTCCCATTTTGGGGGCCTTCTGGGAGGCCCTCGTCGCCGCCGCTGGATTCGCCTCCAAGTCCTGGTCAGAACGCGCCCCAGGGGAGGGCCGGGAAGTGGCGGCATCGGTACCTTTTGGTTCCCTCAATATCGATATCGGCCTGATCCGATTCGATTTTGATATGCCGACGGTGCGATGCAGTCAATGGCTGGCATGGCGATGTGGTGCATCCAGGCGCAAAAGCGGTCCGCGTCGATGCCGGCTCTGCGCTGGTGCGGCCCGACGCGACGCGCATTCCGATCCCATCCGGGTTCCCGATTCGATGCCGACTGATCTTGCGCCTGCGCGTGCTCCTCCTCCTTCCCCTCCTCCTCCTCCTCCTCCTCCTCGTCTCCCTCCTCCGTCTCCATCCTCCTCCTCCTCCTCCTCCTCCTCCTCCTCCTCTTTCCCTCTCCTCCTCCTCTTTCTTCCTCCCACTTCTTCTCTCCTCCTCCTCCTCCTCCTCCTCTTCCTCTCCCCTCCCCCTCCTCCCTCCTCCCCTCCTCCTCCTCCTCCTCCTCTCCTCCTCCCTCTCCCCCTCCTCCTCCTCCTCCCTCCTCCTCCTCCTCTCCCTCCTCCTCCTCCCCCTCCTCCTCCTCCTCCTCCTCCTCCTCCTCCTCCTCCTCCTCCTCCTCATCCTCCTCATCCTCCTCATCCTCCTCTTCCGCGTGCTCTGCTGCCGCCCTAGGGCCAGCGCCACCCGAGCAAGCTGAAGTTGTTGACGCTTCGCGTATCCCGACCAGTTCCGTAGCCATTGGCTCAAGCCTTTGGCTCAAGCCGTCTCGGCTCCTGGCTGGCTGCCAGCCCCACGGCCCGCCTCGGCTGACGGCCAGCCTGGTGGCCCGCCCCGTGCCTAGAGCAGCCGCAGCGCGCCGGTTCCTCCCTCTCCTGGAGGCAGGCAGGCGGACCCCAATAGTGCTCTTCACTCCTATCAGCCCCCTGGGGCAATGTCGTTGTGGAGACAGGAGATGCGACCCGAAGCGCGCCCCCTCCTGGAGACAGTGCCGTGGCGACAATTCGGGGTGCTGCAGAGGGCGCGCCCGCGCTCAGAGACGTTCTTCACAATTCTGACAGTCAGGAATTTATATCCGAAAGTGCGGCCTTCGGCTGCAAAAGTCTTTTGTGAGAGCTCGAGACTCATCAGGTGATCGTTTGCCACAGCGCGTCGGTCCCTCCCCCTCCTGGAGACCGGCAGGCGGACCCCCATGGAGCTCCTCACTCCTATCAGCGCCCCCGGGGCAGGTTCGCGGAGGAACCCAGATACGCCGTCGCAGGCGCGCTCCCTCCTGGAGACAGGATCTTGGCGATCACTTGGGGTGCTGCAGTGGGCGCGCCCGCGCTCGGAGACGTTCCTCCCAATTCAGACACTCACGAGTTTGTATCCGAAAGTGCGGCCTTCAGCTGGAAACGTCCTCTGGGGGAGCTCGAGACTGATCAGGTGGTCGTTTGCCACAGCGCGTCGGCCCCTCCCCCTCCTGGAGACCGGCAGGCGGACCCCCATAGTGCTCCTCACTCCTATCAGCGTCCTTGGGGCAGGTTCGCGGAGGAGGCCGGAAATACGCTCGAAAGCGCGCCCCCTCCTGGAGACAATATCGTGGCGATAACTGGGGGTGCTGCAGAGGGCACGCCCGCGCTCGGAGACGTTCCTCCCAATTCAGACATTCAGGAGTTTGTATCCGAAAGTGCGGCCTTCAGCTGCAAAAGTCCTCTGGGGGAGCTCGAGACTCATCAGGTGGTCGTTTGCCACAGCGCGTCTGTCCCTCCCCCCTCTGGAGACCGGCAGGAGGACCCCCATAGTGCTCCTCACTCCTATCAGCGCCCCCGGGGCAGGTTCGCGGAGGAACCCAGATACGCCGTCGCAGGCGCGCTCCCCCCTGGAGACAGGATCGTGGCGATAACTGGGGGTGCTGCAGAGGGCGCGCCCGCGCTCGGAGACGGTCCTGCCAATTCAGACACTCAGGACTTGTACCCGAAAGTGCGGCCTTCAGCTGGAAAAGTCCTCTTGGGAGAGCTCGAGACTGATCAGGTGGTCGTTTGCCACAGCGCGTCGGTCCCTCCCCCTCGTGGGGACCGGCAGGCGGACCCCCATAGTGCTCCTCACTCCTATCAGCGTCCCTGGGGCAGGTTCAAGGAGGAGGCCGGAAATACGCTCGAAAGCGCGCCCCCTCCTGGAGACAGTATCGCGGCGATGGTTGGGGGTCCGCAGGGTGCTGCAGAGGGCGCGCCCGCGCTCGGATACGTTCCTCACAGTTGTGACACTCAGGACTCAGTTTCCGAAAGAGCAGCCTTCAGTTGCAACAGTCAGCGGGCAGGTCTGGCAGTGCGACAGAACAGGCGGACACCCCGTCGGCTCCTTACTCCTATCGGCGTCCCTGGGGCAGCAGTGCGGTGGAGGCCGGAAAGGCGCTCGGCAGCGCCACCCCTCCTGGACACAGGACCCCGGAGACAGTTGGGTGCGCTGCAGAGGGCGCGCCCGCGCTTGGAGACGCTCCTCACAATATGGAGCCTCAGGAGTGTGTTGTGGGGAGTGGCCGTCGGCTCTAGCAGTCTTCAGGGAGAGGAACACGTGGTCGTCTGCCGCAGCTTGTCGTCCCCTCCCCCTCCTGGAGGCCGGCAAGCGGGCACTCGTGCGGCTCGTCACTCCTATCAGCGCCCCTGGGGCAGCAGTGCAGTGGAGGCCGGAGAGGCGCTCGACAGCGCGCCCCCTCCTGGAGACAGTACCTTGGCGACAGTTAGGAGCGCTGCAGAGGGCGCGCCCGCGCTCGGAAACGCCCCTCACCCAATAGAGACTCAGGAGTCTGTTCCGGGAAGCGCGGCCACTAGCTGCATTGCCTTCAGGGAAAGCTCGAGAGTGTACACGTGGTCGTGTGCCGTGCGGCCGTTAGCTCTCCTCCTCCTCCTCCTCCTCCTCCTCTTCCTTCTCCTTCTCCTCCTCCCCCTCCTCCTCCTCCTCCTCCTCCTCCTCCTCCTCCTCCTCCTCGTCCTCCTCACACGCGCAAGACCACACAGTGCACTGGGAATGGACGTCCGAACGATGGCAAGAGCTTCGCCCGAAGGGGATTGGGGTCGAAGGAAAAAAACGCCATAACGATAAACGTTTGGCGTTCCGCGCGGGTTTTTTGCGTCCGCGTTGGCTCGCCCCCCCCCGGCGGCGCCTCCTGCGCCGCCTTTGGCGCTTTCCGCGCGAGGTCTCGAAATGTCCGTTCGGGTCCCCCGTCTGGGCTCCTCTTTGGAGACGTCCTGGGGGCCTCTTCGGCTGGCTTGGAGGTCTCTTGGTCGGTCTTGCGGCCCTCTTGGGTCGTTTTGGGGCTCTCTTGGAGGACTCTTCGGCCATTTTGTGGCGGTCTTGGGGGCTTTTTGGCCTGTCTTAGCGCGTCGGGAAGCTGACAAGGTGAGAATGCCGAAATCTTCCAAAACTTACGGGGGATCGATGATTTTTGCCCCTTGGGACCCTCGTGGAAGTCCTCTTGGAGGCGTCTGGGGGCGTTTTCGAAACCTTTTGAGCCATCTGGAGGCTACTTTGGCGACTTGGACCAGTACTTCGGCGATTCGGGGCCCTCGAGGACCGTCTTGGGGGTATCTTGGGGCAGTTTTGCCGCGTCCTGCTGCTTTTCTCGGCCGCCCAACCGCCCGAGGGGGAGTTGTATCTCCCGCGGGACCCCCCCGGGACCTCCCCCCGGCCCCCCCCCCCCGCCTGGACCCCCCCCCCCCTCGGCGGGGCAGGGATCAAAAGGGAAGGGGCTTCCCTTCGACTCAATTGCACAGTTGCTCAATTTCGCTGTGGTTGGCGCGCTCGAGGAGGAGAGCCCAGTGAAAGTGGGGGATCGGCGACGGTCCTGGGGGGGAAGCGAGCGGCGAAGGCGAAGGCGACGACGACGACGACGACGACAACGACCACGACGACGACGACGACGACGACGACGACGACGACGACGACGTGTCAAACGGAACAGCCTCTCCCACACGCCGACAGGGTCGGCGGATTTATAGCATTTCATTTTTCCTCCATAGGGAGGTTGGGCGGGCAAACTCGTTAAACCACCTACGCCGACAGAGGCCCACTGGGATTCGGGCTCTGGATGGCGCCCCACTGCGGGTGCTTCGGCGGCACGAAGCGATCCTCCACCGTTGCCGCTGCCGTCAGCTGTGTCGGCGTCGTCGGCGGTGTCGAGGTCGGCGTTGGCGGCGGCGGCGTCGTCGGCGGCGTCGGCGGTGGCGTCACGCGGTCTTCGTCGTTGGCGTCAGCTTCGTCGGAGTCGTCGTCGCCGCCGCCGCCGCCGTCGTCGTCGTCGTCGTCGTCGTCGTCGTCGTCGTCGTCGGCCTCGTCGCCATCGGCGTCGTCAGCGGCACCGTCGTCGTGGGGGTCGGCGTCGTCACCGTCGTGTCGTTAGTAGGGTGACCCGGAGGCATGGCCGAGGGGGAGGTTCGCTTCGAGCAGGCCATGTCGGTGCGCACGGCCGTTGCGATGACTGGCTCCGTCCTGGGCGGCTCCGCCATCACCGTCATCCCAGACGCGACGTCGACGGACGGCACGAAGGTCATCGTCCGGGGCTTCGGCCAGGCCGTGGCGTGGCAGGAGCTGAAAGACCACTTCAAAGCGTGCGGGCCCATCGCCCACGCTGACGTCAGGGGCAAGGAGTCAGGCAGCGGAGTCGTCAAGGGGGGACAAGCCCTCGGGCGGCCCTGGGCCCTGGGCCCCAAGCATCCGGACTTGTGATTTTCGCCGCATGGTGGGGGTTCTTGTTCTTGTTTCCCACCCGCGTCGCACCCGCGTCGCACCCGCGTCTCACGCACCCGCGTCTCACTCACACGCGCTAGACACGCACTCAGACACAAAGACTTCGAAGATGCGGCTTGCAGACATACGCGCAGACGCATATGCACATACACAGCACGCGCAGACACACACGCATACACACAGCAACACACACGCCCACAGCTTAGTGTACATCTGGTCTGTTAATGCATATCCTCGACACTGGATGGGGGACCAGGCGTGGCAGGCGCGGCGCGTCCTTGACATCAGAAAGGGCGCCCAGACCAGAGCTGGCGCTGGTGTTGCTAGAAGTAGTCCCGGCTCAAGGTGATCCCAGCTTTCCGCGCCTTTCTGGAGCCCCTGGGGCCTGGGGCTCTCGGGGCCTCGTGATCGGACGGGGCTAGGACGAGGGCATATCCGTTCCAGAGCCGTTCTGGGACGCTCTCAGAGCGTTCCGGGACGCGGTGAGGAGGCCGCGACGCCCGATGACATCTTCCAGAGCCGCCGGATGTCGGAGATTCTCGATTTATCTTCGCCCGAACGGAGCCTCGCCCTGGCCTCGTCTGGCGTGAGGGGTGTTTGGATGCCGCCTGGCCCCTCCAACCAAGCTCGGCCACGCGCACAGGGGGTTGGAGGGGGAGGGGAAGGCTTCTTAAATGCACCCCTCTTTCTCAGAAGGCGCGGACCTTTTCTGTAGATGTAGGGCCTGCGCCTTCCAAGGAGCAGCCTCCTTCTAAGAAGCCTCTCCACCCTCCTCCTCCTCCTCCTCCTTCTCCTCCTCCTCCTCCTCCTCCTCCTCCTCCTCCTCCTCCTCCTCCTCCTCTTGCTCCTCCTCCTCCTCTCCCTCCTCCTCCTCCTCCTCCTCCTCCTCCTCCTCCCCCTCCCCCCCTCCCTCCCCCTCCCCTCCTCCTCCTCCCCTCCTCCTCCTCCTCCTCCTCCCCGCCTCCTCCGCTCCTCCTCGCCTCCTCCTCCTCTCCTCCTCCTCCTCCTCCTCCTCCTCCTCATCCTCATCCTCATCCTCCGCTCCTCTTCTCTTCCTCCTCTCCCTTCTGCTCCTCCTCCCCTCCTCCTCCTCCTCCTCCCCATCCTCCTCTCCCTCCTCCTCCTCCTCTCCTCCTCCCTCCTCCTCCTCCTCTCCTCCTCCTCCTCCTCCTCCCTTCCTCCTCCTCCCTCCTCTCCTCCTCCTCCTCCCCCTCCTCCTCCTTTTCATCCTCCTCCTGCTCCTTCTCCTCCTCCTCGTCCTCCTCCTCCTCCTTCTCCTCCTTCTCCTCCCCTCCTTCTCTTTCCCCTTCTCGTCGTCGTCGTCTCCTCTCCTCCTCCTCCTCCTCCTCCCTCCCTCTCCCTCCTCTCTCCTCCTCCTCCTCTCCTCCTCCTCCCCCTCCTCCTCCTCCTCCTCCTCCTCCTCCTCCTCCCTCCTCTCCTCTCCCTCCTCCCTCCTCTCCTCCTCTCTCCTCTTTCTCCTCCTCCTCCTCCTCCTCCTTTTCCTCCTTCTCCTCCTCCCCCTACCCCCTTCTGCGCGCTGCCAACCAAAGCCCTGGGGGCACCTGCCAGGGACACCCTTTCTGGCAGCGCCCAGCTCCCTCGGTGGCCGAGGCCAGCCGTGGCCAGAGCGGGCTCGTATTCGCTCCTCGTGCGGCGCGTTTTTTTTTTTTTTTTTTGTTGTTTTTGTTTTTTTGTGTGGGCGTAGCACGGTGGCTGTCCAGGCCCCCGACGTTGTTGTTTGTTTGTGTTGTTGTTGATGATGCTACCGTTGTTGTTGCTGTTGTTGCGGTTGTTGTGGTTGATGGTGTTGTTTTTGCTGTTGTTGTGGTTGTTGCTGCTGATCTTTCATTTCTGAATAAGTATTGTTGATCCCCCTCACCGGTGCATTCTGTTTTTTCTCAATCGAAGTGTGCCCCTCGACGCTCGCACCCTGTTTTTTGAGGGAAAGTATTCCTGCTCAAACTGGGCCCCTGGCCCCCCGGATTACAACAACAACGGCTCCCGCTTGGGACTTCCTCTAAATTTACTCAGGACCCCCGCTCCTGAGACTTCCTCACAATTTACTCAGGATCGGTGCTCCCGCCTGTGACTTCCCGCTCCCATCTGATACTTCTTCTCAATTTACTCAGGAACGGCGCTCCTGCTTCAGATTTCCTCGCAATCGAGTCAAGGCTCCTTCGCAATTTAATCAAGACCCCCGCTCCAGCCAGAGAGCCCCTCATATTTTATTAAGGAATTGCGCTTTCGCGTGTGACTTCCATGCAATTTATTCAGACGTCTCGCTTTTGACGCTCAGGAAACACGCTGCGCCAAGTACGCCGTTACAAATCACTTAGTATTCGCGCTCTCGCCATACTCAGGCATCCCGCTTGAATGTCCCACCCGCCCGACCCGCCCGTCAGGGGATCGCCCGCCCGTCGTGGGCTCCCACCCGCGACTTCCTTCAGGAACGGCGCTTTCTCCTGGTATTTCCTCGAACGTTCACGCTCTTACCTTC